TTATTTTACCCTCTAGCTTTTCTTTAATAAATAACCTATCAACCTCTACATGTTTAGTTCCATCATGTTGCACCGAATTATGAGCAATATCACAAGCAGCCTTATTATCACAAAACAACTTCATCGGTTGACTATGTTTAACACCCAAATCTTGTAGTAGTAGTTTAAGCCATAAAATCTCACAAATACCAAGGGCCATACTTCTGTATTCCGCTTCTGCACTCAACCTTGCTACTACTCTCTGCTTCTTGCTTCTCCAAGTAACCAAATTTCCACCAACAAAGGTGAAGTAACATGTTGTTGAGCACTTATCATCACTCGAACCAGCCCAGTCAGCATCTGTATAACTTTTAATACTAAAATGACCATTCTTCTTATATAAAATCTCTTTCCCCGAACTTCCTTTCAAATAACTCAATATCCTCATAACTGCATTCATTTGTTGTTCTCTTGGAACATGCATGTATTGACTAACGACACTCAAGGCATGAGCAAAGTCTAGTCTAGTATGTGCCAAATACATTAATCTTCCCACTAATTGTTGATACCTCCCTCTATCTACCGGTACTTGGTTTAAATCAATGCTTAGCTTCATTCTTTCTGCTAACGGAGAAGTCACAGGTTTGCATGCTAACATGCCAGTTTCTTTTAACAGGTCAAGAATATACTTTCTTTGTGATAGAAAGATTCCTGACTTGCTCCTTGATACCTATTTCAGAGACACAAGATCCTTCATCTCGAATTCTGTACTTAAATATTCCTGCTAAGCTGCACCCTCATCCAGATCATTACCGGTAACTACCATGCAATCCACATATACAATGAATGTTGTAAGCTTTCCATTATGACGTTTTGAGAACATCGTGTGATCACAATTACTTTGCTTATATCCAAATGCTCTCGTAGACTTATTAAATCTACCGAACCAAGCTCTTGGAGACTGCTTCAACCCATACAATGATTTTCGAAGCCTACACACCTTTTGTCTATGCATAACTAGAACGTTACTCCTTGGTGGGAGTTCCATGTAAATCTCTTCTGTCAAATTCCCATGCAAGAAAGGATTCTTCACATCAAACTGCTATAATGGCCAATTAAGATTTTCAGCCAAAGACAACAAAACACAGATTGTATTGATCTTGGGCAAAGAGGCAAATGTATATGTATAGTCAATTTCATATTTTTTTAAATGTATCATTTTGCTACTAGTCTTGCCTTGAAGTGATCCATTATCCACTTCACCGTATAGACCCATTTGCATCCCATAAGTTTCTTGCCAGTTGGCAAGTTTGTAATCTCCTAGGTAGCATTCTTCTTCAAAGACTTCAACTCTTCATTCATTGCTGCTTGCCAACGTGGATCAGCTAAAGCCTTATGCCCTACACAATGTTACGAATATATACAATAGATAATTGATGCACAAATGACTTATTTGATTCTGATAGGCAACTGGTAGACACATAATTACTTAACGGGTATAACACATTAGACTCAAGGTTGGGCTTACTCACCGGATACCTAGTTTTGCATTTAGGGTCAGCTTTATAAGTAAGTTTAGGAATACCTCGATTGACGCGATTAGGGATACAATGTGGTGGTGGTGCATCTAGGATCGAAGACGATTGATTATGGTTATTAGGACTCAAGATCAATTGTGAGGTAACTGGCGACACAGGACTGTCCGGTGGTGAGGAAACTGGTAATGAGCTATCTAGTAGTGAGTTATCTGGCAATGTCGACTCGTCCCTTTCAAGGTTTTAAACATTGTTTCCATGTGAATGATCACCACTTGTCTCCAAGACATTACCACTTAGTTCCAATTCATTCACATCATTGTTTTTGTGTGAATGATTCTCCCCCTGAAGTGAAGACTCAGGATTGGCGAAGTACATATCACTCTCATGAAACGCAACATCCATAGTGACAAACAAATTTTTCGACGGAGGGTGATAACAATGATACACCTTTCGATTTGAGGCATACCCTACAAACACACTCTGTAAGGCTCGAGGTTCAAGCTTACTTCTTTGCTGTTTATAAAGATCAACAAAGGCCACACAGCCAAACACGTGAAGTGGAAGATTAGGAACTGTAAGAGCATCAACATATAAAGAGAGAGTCTGGAGTGGTGCCTGAAAGTCTACTGATCGGGATGGAACACGATTCATGAGATACGTAGCTGAGGTGAGAGCTTCTACCTAAAAAGATAACGGGAGACACACCTCGAGCAAAAAGCATGAACAACCTCTAGAAGCTAACAATTCTTGCATTATGCAACACCATTTTGTTATGGAGTATATAGACATGTAGTCTGATGAACAATACCATGATGATCAAGAAAGGCACGAAGTTCAGAGTTTACATATTCACCACCATTGTCACTCCCAAGAACTTGTATTTGTGACTTATATTGTACTTGTACCATTTTGTAAAACTGCTGAAACAAGGAAGTAACTTCACTTTTGGACTTCATCAAACAACCCTAAGTCATACGTGTGCAATCATCAATAAAAGTAACAAACCATTGAGCACCACCAAATGCAGCAGTTTTAAATGGTCCCCAAACATCAAAATGAATTATCATAAACGAGATTGAACTTTTATTCAAACTAGGTGGAAACGAAGTACGATGACTTTTAGCCATTTCACAAACACCACATTTAAAGTTAGAAATATCATGCTTAACAAACAAGCTAGGAAACAACCTCCATAGATAGATGAACGAAGCATGTCCAAGTCAACGATGCCATAACCAAATCTCCGAAGCTTTATTCCTATCCCCCTGATTTCCTTCCACTACAAGAGCTTCAACATTTGGGAACTGTTCGATGTTAAGTCCAAGTAGTAGAGCTTCCCCTTCCTAATACCATAACCAATTGTCTTGCGAGTCCGAATGTCTTTAAAAACACAAAAAGAAGGCCAAAAAATCACAAGACAATGCAGGGCGACAATTATTTGAGCAACATATAATAAATTATAGTCAAGAGAAAGAACAACAAGCACAATATCAGGACTAAGGGTATCTGAAAGGGAGACAATTCCTTCCCGATAATAGGGGCAGGATTACCGTTGGCGACACTCACAACAGTTTTGGTGGTTGGTTTTAGGGTTTGTACCTGTCTAGAATCACAAGTCATATGTTTAGTAGCATTCAAATCAATTATCCTTGTATTATTCATAACAAAGGCATAAACCTTTAAAACCTTACCATCGTTACCTGTATTCGTAGAGGCAAACACTTTTGCAACTATATTTTCAGAATCTACCTTCGCATCAACAAATGAGGTACGCGTGGTCTTATTCTCATGTCCGAGTCGGTTGGATCGATTTGGAGAGGTACAAGTCCAGACTGCCATTCCTAAGCAACTTTAACCAATACGTCAATAGGTGATTAATACAACCCACATTTCCAAGGAGCCTAAGTAGTTTCAATAAGCACGGGCCAATAAGCAAGATGGCCCACCAACCACAAATAGCCAATTAAAAAATTATAATTTAACTAAAACCAATCACTTTTTCTAGCCTGTGTGGGCCTAAAGCAAAAAAAGCCAATTTTTCCTTTCTCTTTTGTCTCTTTGCCTTTTGTCCAATATCTTCTTCGTACAAACAAAAGAATTGACAGCCAAACTCACTGCAATCTAGAGCAACAATAGGCTTGTGTGGGTGCATATTGTAGATGGTTGGGGTTTTAAATCGAGGTGGTGTATGAAGCAGGTTGTAGAGGTCTAGAAACTCCTCAAATGGTGGTACAGTGAAGAGAGTGTTGTGGTTTTAGGACTAAGGGGTGGTTGCAGCGGCAACGTACGGGTCTGTGGGTTGTGGGTTAAGCTCGATCTGGGGCAGTCTGATATGGCTCCGTGATGCAGCAGCGGGTCGTGGTGGGTGGATGCACAGGTGGGCTCAGTGGACTCGGTGTCAGCAACAACGGAGTCGCTCGCTGGTCGAATAGGCGCGATGCACAATTGGCTGCGCAGCTGGTGGTTCTCGGGTCAACAACGACAGCGTCGCTCGCTAGTCGGACGACGCTGCACAACTGGCTGCGCAGCTGATGGTTATGGTTATGCGCACAACGCATTGTTTTTTTCTTTTCTCTAACCTAGGCTTTGGTGCCAAGAAGAGAATGCTTTGAATGATATGTTTATTCTTCTCAGGAAGAGATATAATATACAATCCTAAGCCTAACCAAATAGGGAAGAATAATTACAAGAGATTACAAAGAGATTTCTCCCAAATTACACGAAATCCATCCTAAATTAGGAAATCCTAAATTATAAAAAACTATACAAGTCAACAGATTCATGAAGCCTATATTATATGCTTTGCATTGACGCTATTGAACTTTGAAAGTGATTTATCATAAAAAGGAAACAGCCATTAAAGTACTTGAAAAACTTCAAGACACAGAGAAGTTTGACCAATAACATACCCGTAGTTGCATGTATAATTTGTAGTGAAGGGGTTCAGTGTAAGGGGACTTAATTAGTACTCTTTATAATAATAATCAAGACGGTGGTTCACTGCACCATGGCATGCGTATGAACTTTATCAAATCTTCATGGTGATAATCAATTATCACGTTCCTTGTTTAGTCTAGTTTAGATGGTTTATCTTGTTTCCAATTAACTACTTATAATAGAAACTTGACAAGATATTGCATGATCTCTAACGCTTAGAGATAAGAGGAGATGGTGAACGATCAAGAGGAATTGGACCCATGATTAGATGGGTAAACGAATTATTAACATCAATTACAGAAACTACTGTATTATATTAAACAAAGAGAATTACTTTTGACATAAAGAGAAAAATATAAAATGTTAGCTAATTTGAATGTGTAGTCCAGATTCAGTATGTAAATATAAGCATTTGCGACATTATCTTCTAATTTTTTACTCAAAATTAATTCTTTATAGAGGAATACAGTGGAAATATTTAATTTGCCCATGGATCGACAAGGATTGAAATGGTGCCATTGATGGAGGCGACAACACTTCGATTCTCGACTGATCTTTGCAGCTAACTGTCTCTCTCTCACACACTCACTCATTGAGACATTGCTGACATTATAAGGGCCATTCTATTTCACTTCATTTACTATTTATGGCTACATGATCGATCGGTGTTGCTTTGAGCCTCGTGATATACTTTACATTCATCATTTCTCTTCAAACTCCCCTGCCCTAACCCGAATTAGTTCTCTCTCGCTCTCTCTCTCTCTCTCTCTCTCTCTCTCTCTCTCTCTCTCTCTCTCTCTCTCTCTCTCTCTCTCTCTCTCATGGATTTTCAGCCAAATACTTCTCTTCATCTAAGTCTACCCAACAACGAACCGAACTTGGAGCTTGTCCTGGAGCCATCATTTACTTCTTCCTCATCTTCTTCTTTTAGTCCGTCCTTGGAACCCAAGCGCATGTTTTCATGCAACTACTGCCAAAGAAAGTTTTACAGCTCCCAAGCACTTGGAGGCCACCAAAATGCTCACAAACTCGAGCGCACTTTAGCCAAGAAAAGCAGAGAGCGGCTAAGTTCCGCGGCCCGAACTCATGATAGCATGAACCAACGAGCCGTATCTAACTACAGCTGCAGCAGCGATTCAGGTGCTAGTCATGCGGAGTTTCCGCAGGCACATCTTGGCGGGTTGAAAGTACATCAAGGACATGCCGGTAGGTTTGTTGGTCAAATGAACCGTGGATACAGATCTGAGAATGCTGAGGAGGACATTTGCCACCTTGACTTATCTCTGAGGCTTTGAGTTGTTTAGTCAATTGCACACATTAAAATTTTAAATTAGCGTGTGTTATGATCTCATCGACTTTCATGTATGGTGTCCAATCATATAATTCGATTCCCAAAATTCAGTGAGTGTAGAGCTGAATGCAAATTATTCATATCAGATACAACAATCTGAAAAATAAGATGGTAAATTTTTTTTTTTTTTTGAACAAATGAATATTATCTTACCCTAAGACCAAACTCAATCCTGTGCTAAATGCTATTTTTTAGGTTTTATTCCCTCCTCAAACCTAACCCAACTCATGCTAAATGTGTAGGCTAAAAGCTAAAAGTCAAACAAAAACCAAATTCTCCCCAAGATTTAGCCCAGAAAATGGTGTGGGCACCACCTGTGGGACCCCACCCACATGCTCATGTCTCCAAGGATTTATTGAATCCAACGGCTAAGATCGAATATAATCAAATCTAACGGTAAAAAAAAGATCTAACTGCCCAAATTTAAATCCAACGGTTAAAATAATTTAAAAAATTATTTAACTCAAAATTCACCCAAATTTAGTGATTTTTCAATATTTATCGGAATTTAAATATTTTTAGGTTAAAATGTTCATAAAATTAAATTATGATAGTGTACATAATTTTTTTTTAAATTACTTTGAAAGAAAAAATTAGCCTAAATTTATTCTTTAATAATCTCGGGCTAAAAAATTTAGGCTAGAAAGGTTGGAGCATAAAAACTATTTATGGGCTAAAACCTAAATTTTTTAGGCTAAAAATTTTAGGTTTTAGCCCAAGGATTGGAGATGGTCTAAGACCAAACCCAACCCTAAGTTAAATGCTATTTTTTAGGTTTTATTCTCCCCCCCCCCAAAAAAAAAACCCAACCCATGCTAATTGTGTGGGCTAAAAGTTAAAAGCCAAATTCCCCTCAGGATTTAGCCCCAAAAATGGTGTGGGCACCACCAACAGGATCCCACCCACATGGGCATGTCTCCCAGGATTTATTGAATTCAACGGCTGAGATCAAATATAATAAAATCTAACGGTAAAAAAAAAAGATCTAACGGCCCAAATTTAAATCCAACAGCTAAAATAATTTAACAAATTATTTAATTCAAAATTCACCCAAATTTAGTGATTTTTCAATATTTATCGGAATTTAAATATTTTTAGGATAAAATGTTCATAAAACTAAATTATGATAGTGTACATAATTTTTTTTTAAATTACTTTAAAAGAAAAAATTAGCCTAAATTTATTTTTTAATAATCTCAGGCTAAAAAATTTAGGCCAGAAGGGTTGGAGTAGAAAACTGTTTCTGGGTTAAAACCTAAATTTTATGAGCTAAAAATTTTAGGTTTTATGCGCTTAGCCTCACAATGGGCTAGCAATAATGTGGTTCAAATTCGCTTTGGGCGAGAATCGAACATCAGACATGTTGCTTGCAAGTGAAGAGGACTATCTACTAAATATTAATTTTGGAGCAAAAAAGAAACAAATAGTTTTTGCTACGGGAGTTGTTTTTGCACTCCAAATTAATCATTTTGCACTCATTTAAATAAAGATTAAGAAGAATACGTAAAAATTAGTCATATTGTCTGCTATCACAATTCCCTTTGTTATCTCCTGATATATAAGCGCTTTATAGTTCTAAAATCATACGTTCCAAAATATTTTGTCTATAAGAGACGCATTCATGGACAATTGACCCAAATAATAATTGTTTAAATTTTAATTGATAAAAATTAGTCATATTGCTTGGTACGTGGGACAGGACGGAACAGAGTTTGACGAGGCATTCCGTCCCACGTTTGGTGCGCTTAAAACGGGTGGAATGCGTTGTTCCTTGAGACGAAATTTGGATGAATTTTTGTTCCACCTCACCCCCTGGAATGACTTGTTTCATATCCGTGGAACACAAAATTATAACCTCAACGTCTCCTTCTTCTTCCTCATTGTTTCCATCCGAGGGCATCTTTGCTCCCTCTCCGTTCCGTCCCGTCCTGTCCCGTCCGGTCCCGTCCCATCTGCATACCAAACGATACCTTATAGCATGCACGGGACTACAAATAATCCTCTCTATTCGTAGCGTACTAGTATGTTTCAGGGGAGGAAAAGGGAAAATCTGGGTGCGTATATATTTGGTCGTAGGCAACAATAACGGCCCCTCCTGTTTTCCCGTAACCATAGGGCTTGTTGGTTATGTAGAATTGAATTGGCGTAGAGAACTCTATATTGAGCTAAAAATTTAAACAATTATGACCAACTAGGGGAGAAATTATTCAAAGTGCTCGGTATTCAAACGAGTACACTTCACGTGTCATAATATAAGTAAAAGAACACAAAAATATATATATCATTTTCCTCTAATTGTATTATGACATGTGGGGTACTGTTTGCGTACTTGGTACTTGGAAAAATTTCTCCACCTAGAGGGTAAAAGATGGATTATTCATAGGACCATTCCAATATTATCCAAAATAGTAAGATTAGAAGGAAGGAGTTTTTTTTTTTTTAGTAAGTTTTATTCATGTCTAATCCTTATCTAATCACCTCCAAAAATCGAATCATTCACTTTCCACCTTCAAGATGCTTAGAAAGTTATCCATTTGAATTCAATCTTACATACCAAACAACCATGTAAAATTCACACTTTTTTGCATGAACATAGATTTCTCTCACAAAGACATACAAAATATTTTGTTTCTTACATATGGTTCGTTTTGATATATACTGACGACATCATATTTATGTCTCAGCAAAAATACGATGGGATTTTGAAAAAATATAGGTCATGCTATATACACACTTTTTCTACCTCCCACTATCCCATATATATCGTTAATTTCTATTATTTGATTCTTTTCGATTCATTCAATCCTATTGTGATAACTCTTTTTAGATAAGTTTCATTTCATTCTAAATCACAATCGTATTTTTCCCTGGATTTGATGCTTAATGACACAAACATTAGGCAATTCACACGTAATGAAAGCTTAAGGACCCCACGACCATTCAACATGTTTATGGCTAAATCCAATAATGTTTGAACACAATAACATGTTCTTTAAAGCTATGTCATAATCTTAGGGTTTTAGGTCTATGAACCGATGATCTCGAGTTTGACGTATATTATAGATTCCAAGCTTGTCTATTCAAACGAAACCGATAGATTTTTAACGCAGTTTACCCTTTTTAGTCGGCGGTGATGTCAAAAGTTGTTCTAGCTTCAGTTAGAATGCTCCGAAAAGTGAGCTGAATTGATTTAATGATAACTAAGATATATACTATATTTAAGTTTTGCATGGAATTGTGTGGCTTAACCGAACTCCCTCTCTCCTTAGTATAAAAATATCGATGTACTAAAAAATAAAAATAAAAAAATAAAAAATAAAAGTCTTGCATGGAATTTTGATTTTAGTGTCTTTTTTTTTTAACGAAAGAAAGAATTGTATTAATAATCAAATGCAAATGGAAACATTTGCATTTTCTGCAATGACATTAAACAAAAATTCAGGTCCTGATTCATCCCAATTAAATCTTCCGTCATGCTTGATGCGGAAATTTACTTAACACACAAATTAAACCCTCTTGTATCAATTGTAGTAAAGAATGTAAGTAGGTATCGTTCTAGGCCGTGGATTAGGAGAGATTGCTAAAACACTTGAAACTAACTTAAAAACGTAAAATTAAGTATAAAACACCAAACTAGACTCAAAAGATGCAATACAAACTAAAAAAACTCAAAACTAGTTTAAAAGACTCAAAACAACTTAAAACAATGAATTAGACTCTAAACTGACTCTAGGGATGGTTTTGGACGAAATTAGATTCTAACTTGACTCAAGACACTTAAAAACACAAATCAAAACAGATTTTGACTAAATAAACACTTTAAAGTAAAGGGGGTTTTGATTTTGACGAATTTGAAAACAAAACAAACAGATTGTAAACTAAAACAGATTTTGGACGAATTTGGGTAAACTATGGATGATGGGCTAGCTAGAGGGTTCTTCTCCACACATGACACACTTGCACATAAATCAATTTTCAGTTGTTCTTTCGATAAATCATGAAACTCAACACCTCAGGTTAATTAAGTCTGCTTAAATTAACCTTCAAGTTCTCCTTAAGTTATTGAATTGGATGGGAAAGCGCATACAACAATTCAAGCATTCTTCAAAAGTCCTTTACGTGAATAGCACAATAAAGATACAATCAAAGATCATTAAGCATTATGAAAACTATAAGTGTTGACGAGGCATTCGTTACTATGATGAGCATGAAACTCCTGCCAAGAATTCATTTAACGTAATCGTTTATAAGCGGCCTCCACTACTTGTGAATATAAGTTTGTAACTATTAGGTGAAACTCTCATATACTCTAGCATCATATTCATGCATGCAAACTAAGTGTGCACTCTTAGTAAACATACACGAATAAGTTATCAATCAAGCAGTTAAACAAATTGAATTCACAACTTATGAAATCACAACTGAAGGTAATCAATTCATATTGCAAGTATGTTCATGGCTTTGAATTCCCCCTAGCTAAGGGAGGTTTAGTTCCTTATACTTACAAAGCAAAGATAAACAAATTTAGACATTGAAAACAAAAGAAAGAAAACACCTAAACGCTCCAACGATCCAAGTTGGACATCAAGCACGTCCAAGCACTTTCCTTCCCTTCCTTTGCTACGACACAAGGTGTTGGTGAGTGTTTGAAGGTTTGGTTGTATGGAGGAATGGATGTGAAGATGAATGGATGTGTTTGAATGAAGGTTGTATTGAAATGGGGATGAATGATTAAGGAAAAACTTAGCTAAATTTATGTTACACACACTTCCTTTTATAGAGGAAGTGCATGGCAATAGAGGGGAACATGGAGTGGTGTAGCAATTGAGTGCAATGATGCATGAAATCTGAAATGATGGAGGGAACAAGGAATGGTGTAGCAATTGAGTGCAATGATTCAATGTAATCATGCATGAATTTGAAATGATGGAGGGAACAAGGAATGCTGTAGCAATTGAGTGCAATGATTCAATGTAATGATGCATGAAATCTGAAATAATTAAGGGGACAAGGGTGATGATGCTCGACATGGGTGGAAATTGGAGTGATTTATGGCAGAAAATAGGAAAGGGATGGCATGGCTCCCTTGCACGGCAAGGAAGAGAAATGGTGAAGGATGATAT